GCACCTTCCACTTCTATATCAACTGCCTTTGTGTATGCAAATTTGTGAAAGTAAAGAAGTGACCATATATTTATAAACAATCAATTGACAACAATATCTTTTATATTTGTTTTCGATGTAGAATTTATAACAATATTCATATGTAATAATTGGTGCGCAAATGCTAATGTAATGCCAATGCTTTCGTCAACGCCGAAAATAGGTATAACTTATACCTCTAAAAAGCATTTTAAAAACCTATAATAAAACCTTTTAAAACCTGAAACTAACACTGATGACGAATGCTAACGTTAGTGCATCGAATATCGAACACGGCCTAAATATACGTATAATTTATCACACACAATTGACTTTGAATTGCGTCTAACTTTTACTGATAATTTGCGTATTTATATCCTGTCTATTGATTGCGTCAAAATAACAAGGACAATATCTTTGTTTTCTTCTTTTGGTAACATTTCGAGAAGCACGCAAAGAACATATAATACATTTCTTTTCAGGATGTTATTTATCAATAAGTGACATCATAGAATTTTGATCATTTTTCTTTGTTTTCCAATAATTGCATTTTCTTTTCAAATGGTCAGATCCTTCTAACTCTAAGTGGGTTGATTCTTCTAACCCTAACCTTTTCTTAAAAAAAAAAAATAGTCCTTCTTTCTCGTCTAGAATTCCTCCTAATCACCTACCTCACCTGAGGATTACTTTTCATATCCCCTGAAAAATTATATGCATAACTAACATATCTTATTCATTAAAAATTCAAATGTTACTACTAAAAATCACCACTACTATTCTTCATGTCGTAGAATCCAATGTATTTAAGTTAAATTACCGAACGGGAAAAACGTACGTAAACTATACACACATAGATATTATGATATATGTACTTCATAAAAAAATATGTGTATCAGTGTATGTGTATAAATATCTAGACAAATGGAATAAAAAAAGGAAATAGTAAAAATCCATAAATATACGGACTGCAAGAAGTAGAAAAAAGTAATAATGATGGAAAAAGATAAAACATCACGCAAAACCTTAAAAGAAAGTCTTCTGGTTGTCGTGTGTTACATCTCTCCTCAAATAGTTTTTGCCAATGTTTTCACGTCAATATTTTTTAACCCTCAAAACTTTCACA